TGATTTATTCAGTTTGCGCGATTCAAAATTACCCAGCATTTTTTCAGCATCGTCCGCAAATACTGTTGCCCAACGATTCGATGTCCAATCGGCAATGCTCATCTATACAAAGACAAAAACAATTCAGTATAAATCTTTTCAAATAAAAAAAATAATGCAATCGTCTTACGTTAACAATCATGCGATACTTGAAATTGGCTGATTCAATGTTGCAATTTTCGCATCGATATTGGCCGTTTTGCATGTCAACCACTTTTTTCTTGCATTGATCTTGTGGACAAGCTTTGTAGACAGGATTTTGATTGCGAATCACTTGGATTGTGCCTTTAACTTGGAAGTAATCGGGTTTGTCACCATTTCCAAGATTCTTCAATTTGGCTTCATGGAATGTCAACCATTCGGTATTGAAATTACCACCACCTCCGCCAACTTGCGCCGAAATGCTGTTGCGAATTTCACGTCCACCGCCATTGTCGAACCATCCGCGCAAGAAATGACCTTCGGGTAAATCGGGATTTTTCTTCAAAACTGTACTTCCCACCATCGATATCGATTTGCCGCCACCAAATTCACTGACACGACCACCTTTCACCAATAGTACGGGTTGACCATAATCATTGAAATTTTCGGCATCAACATTCCACAGGGTCAAATTCACCGACGCATCACTATAGTTAAAAATAAATCAAATATTTTGGTGTCAAGGCATACATTGTATACTGTTATATAAATGCACTTACGTGTTATCAACCAAAGTAATGTCACGTTTCTTCAATTCCTTTCCCGTTGATTTAGCTGTGAAAGCTTGTAGCTCGCCAACGTCACGACAGACACCAATTACATCTGAAAATAGAATGTATAAAAGTTAAATATTGAAATTATATGAAAGGCCTTTAAAAACAATCAATTTTATTATCTTTGACTGAATATCGTGAACGCGCGATTCGCGTTTCAATGTAGAACGATGAAGTCAAACAATGATTCGCATTGATATAATGATCCGCGTTTGGATATACGGAAACTCACCGACAATTGTGTTTGGTTGTTTATCTGATATCTTGTCGATCGAGATGAAATCATATTTCACTGTTGGAACATCGTCCAGATCCTCTTTGCATTCTTGAATCACACTGTCGCTCGACAATGTCAACTCGTAATCATTGGGAATGTTAGAGAATTGTTTGTTTGCCGGCTTCAATTGACCCTTTGAAAAGAAGTACACCTTGTCCACCTATTGATTAAAAATGCCAAATTTAAGTCAAAACCAAGCGATGTCAAGTAGTTATGAAAGTCGATGTCAAGTACAATTACCTCAATCATGTCGTAGAATTTGTCGACAAGATCGCGAAAGGCTGTTACACGAATTTGTCCGCTTTCATCCATCAAATCCATGCTGAACAATTTACCTTCGCCCTTGGCATTGCTCCAGTGACGAATTGGTGCCTTTGCCGTGACACGAGCCTTTATAACCCACTTATTCTGGTATGGACTCAATCCACTAATTGGAAGAGTAGCGCGACCATCAAACACTGATTCGTTCATATTTGTTGTTGTTGGTTTTTGTGTACGTTGTGGTGGTAATGCATTTGAATTCGAGTTGGTATTCAAAACGCTTCGTGGTGATTCGGCCGATGTTACAGCCGGTTTTTGTTTGTTGACATCAGACAAACTGATTGGGTCACCAATTTTTCCATTCACTTCGGTGCCGGATTTCAAGATTTCCAAAGCAACAATAATCAAAACACGTCGACTATTAAACGAAGTTAAATCAAATTTATATGAAAATATATCTCCCTTTTATTATTTAAGTAAATTATTTTTGAAAAAAAAAACTCACCTCTCATCGTTTTCATTCTTGTTGACTACAGATGTGATGTGTTGCTTCACTTGAATAATGGAGAATTCGGGCAACTGTCCTTCGACTACCAAATGATTCAATTGTGTCGACAACATGGAGAAACTTTGCAAATATTGTCCATCGGATAGTAAAAGACGGTATCGTTCAGCGTTTCCACCGGCAATGCGCTTTGATCCAAGTACTTGTAAAATTGGCTCGCCTTCATAGCTTTCGGTAGTCATAATTTGCTAAAACAGAGGAAAATATACATACCAATTGTGAACACATATAATAGGTAGGCATTTTTAAATTTCATACCATTAAGCAACCAGTTGTCAATGCAGGAGTGCTCATGTTGTTTGGATTTTTTTCTTAATTTTCAACAACAAATATGCAATGAAAAGCGGTGACTTCACTTTATCTCAAAATATTTGACTGATCAAGACACAATTACTTTAATATTCTGACGTTTAAATACGATTTTTCACGTTTTCGCAGTTCACAGGCTACTTGCAAACAATGAAGTATAACTTAGAAACGCATATACATCTGCTGGTTGGCGCGAAAACAATGACAACCTCTGTCATTCATGTTAGTGCATGAATTTAGATATAATTTCACAATGTTGCGTATATTCGATTTGAAGCGCCATCTATGCGCAAATGTGCAATATGTTCACCAGTGCCCAAAGCGATATTTTTAAAATTGTGATTCAAATAAGAAAATGTTTATAAATGGATATTTGATTGTTTTTCAAAGTTTTTTCATTATTAGTGATACAATATCACTACACAGATTACCTTTATTACATTTGCTTGAATATAAATGTTACATTAAATGTTTCTTACATATTTACAAATAAATAAAATTTTACTAGGAAAATATACATCTGTTTTTTTATTTCTTCTTTGATTTGAATAAGTTCTCATATGACTTGCGTATACGATCACACGCATTGACAATAATTAGACCCAGGCAAAAGAAAACAAGAGAATAAAATATTAAATCGAAAAAATCAATTGAGTTTTGTCTAATTTAATGTGTGTGTGTGTGTGTGTGTGTGTGTGTGTGTGTGTGTATGTGTGTTCATATGTGGCCTACAAAGTTCACATATTACATTTATACAGTTTTTTTTTGTTAGAAATTTATCACATGTTGTTACATTTGCTCTAGTTATGAACACCACATAGTGGTGGTGGTTCATTATTCTTTTTACATTTCGTTAACCAGAGAAGAAGAAGGTACTTTGAAAGAAGCTTCAGCCTCGGGACAGAGCGAAAATCGTGTGATTATAATGGATATAATTTTACAATCGAATGAAGATTCGGTAAAAAAATGTCATGTCATTTTTATTTCATCTCCCCCATCGCGATTGTGGAAAATATATTAAAGACAATCATCGAACACATTTTGCATTTAAACTGTTTCAAATTTTTTGGTCGTTACATTAGCCCGACTAACTTGTTAAATACCAAAGTCTGGTAGAAAAAAAAATCTTATTTTCTATGACCAGAATTTGTTTTTTTTTTTTTTCATAAGTTTCAATTTATTATTGTGTTGTGTAGGTTTAGATAAATAATTCTTATGCGTATATCCTTGTTCGATTAACGTTTGGATAAGGCTGTTTTCATTTTTTACAACTGTTAAACATATTCTCATTTTTTTCCATAAATTTTGTCGGTTTTTTAAAAACATTTTCTCTATCGGGGTTTCACCGAAATACATGTCTCAAAACATATTTTATGTGCTTACAAAAATACACACAGCTTTTTTTCTTACTTTCTCTGCATTTTCATCGCCTAATAAATACATTTTATTTGCACAAAAAGAAATTATTTCGATTCCTAAATCGTTCTTAACTTCGAAAGAAATAACATTTGATAAATTACATATTCGTTCATATTGTCTAACAAAAATTATACAAAATATGTTTCTCTTTTGTTTATTAAACGCTTACAAATGAAGATAACAACAAATTATATTTTTTTAAATAAGCAAAAATCTACGATAATTTTGATTGCAAAGCGAAATCAACTCGACCTTTTTTTCTTCAGTTCTAGCAAATAGATCTATCTGTCTAATTATATAAAGTGTTCAGTGGGTAGAGTGTAATTGTGAGAGTGTGTGTGTTTTTTTGTGTCAATAACATGAAGAATTAATTTCATTAGTTAAATTTATAGGATTTGGTTTAGTTTGCTTTACTATTCTATTCACTTTATGCAATAAATAAAGTAAAAAAGAATAACGTAGAATGTGATGCCAATGACAACGTATGAAATAACGTGATAATTTCCCATGAAATGTGCAATAAAATCAAATGCATTATCGATCTTCGTTTGACGATGTTTGTAGGTGGCACAAGCACACGAACCGATTGGACTATAATATAGGATTCCCGTACATTGATTTGCATTCATAGTGCATTGATTTAAATTCCGGTGTCGAAGCTCGTTATCAACATTTATAGCAATGTGCTCGTCGTATGGATTTCTATTGAATATGCAGCACACACCCGCACTTGGATTGCCAAAGAATTTATAACTGAGTTGTCTATTTAAATGGTCTGCATGCGTAGTTGTTAATTGATTGCTGAAATGATTGGTTACATTCCAAGAGTGACTAGATGATTACAACAGCAATTTGAACAAAAATTTATTTAAAATTAAATTTGATTGATGTTTAGATGCATTGACTATATTTTTCGGATTGATTTCGGGCCTAAAAAAGATAACATGAAGAGAGAAAGAAAGACACAGAGTAAATGATAAAAAAAAACAGTAGAAAACCGAGCAAAAACAAACAATTCTAACTTGGACGAAATAGCAACAAGTATACTAATAGTTAAAATTAAGTCAATTCAGAGACTAATACGTGTTACATGCTAAATAAATTGGTTCGCAATAACGAAATCTCACTAAATAAATAATAAATAAATATCTCTGAATGCCATTAATTGGATGTGTCTATTCCGCGTTTTCGATTTCAATGTAAATTTTGTGGCTAGAATCATACTCTCGAGACTTCCACACGTCTCATTTGTTTCCGTTTCATTAGATATTTACAATCATCCTATTAAGTTAATTATTACTATTACTAAAATTTTGAGTGGCCAAAGTCTATCAGAAATAAATGTATGTAATAAATTTCTTTCTCTCCCCGTCTCACATTTTCTCTTGCAACAATTTCATCATTTGCTTGGTATATTGCTCTGTGATTCTGTTTTATTAAGAGCTTGATTATTTTATTATGGTTCTGTATTAAATGTTGCCCATGTGTTCACACTTTATTTGGATATTTTTGGTTGAAAATGTTTTTGTATTCCTTACACTCGTTCATAGAATAGCACATATGCACTAGATGAAACTAGACCACTTTCGTATATCGGACTAACACTGAAAATGGACGAATAAAAATTAGACGATCCATATTGAAAATGATTTCAGTTCCTTTTATTTTCGCTTACATGTTATCATTAAATTCATGCCATTTGCGTGTTGTCGGATGTTTGCACACTGCCACATAATGTCCGCCAGCGGTTGATCCTAGAACACAAAGAATATGAAAAATAAGAGAGAGAGAGAGAGAGAGAGAAGGGGTAGATTGAGGAAAATAATACATCTCTGTTAAAACTTTAGCAGCTATAGCTTACCCATGTGATTACATATGCCATACAAAGTGTATTGTACTGATGACGAATTAGCTGCGTATGGTGCCATATTCAATTCTCGTTCTCCAGTTGGGAATTCAACAATATTCGTTAATTTGCTCCAACGTGTTTCTGAGAAGCGTTTCAAATCTATAAACCACAAACAAAAATGTCAAATTTAATTAAATATTGAAGGAGAAAATCCTCATTAACAAAAATAATCTATCATAATGAAACGTAAAATGATCAACAACTTACGTATGACTAAATATTTCGGAAAACGTTGAATTGTAAAGCTCTTGGTACTTTTTCGTCGAGTCTTGCATTTTGAACAGGTTGGCATTTCGTCACCGTCCAGTACTTCTTCTTTTATAAAAAGATCCAGGCAACTTTCTAATTTACAACGGCTTGATGTCGGTAATGGTACGCTTAAATCCCAGAACGGATCGAATGTAACGCTGGTATTACCACAAACAGTGCATTTCAATGAACTTTTCAATTGTCCAACAAATAAGTCCTTGATAAGTGATTTTTCGACTTTTGAGTACCATTCCCATGTACGATCAGCCTTTGTATTATCCGATAATTGTTCATCGATTTCGAGTTTTTCGCCTTTTGTTCCAACATTCAGTGCGACATGCAACGCATCCAAGAAAAATCTCAAAAATTCCTGAGCATCTTGCTGTGAACAGCCACTGTACATTCGATGCTTCGATGAAAAAGCTAATTTTAGTTCACTTGGCGTTACCGAATTGGTCGTGCAATTCCACATTTCTTTGATTAATTTTGAAAATTCAGTAACAATTCGTGAATCTTTAGCTGCGGTTGATGAACGAATTTCGACTTTTGTTTTGAGGTATTTCGTCAAATCTTTGGTATGGCTCAGCAGCTGTATTACTATATTTATATAATTATACAATTAATAAAATCTTATTTAAAATAATACTATATTTTGAAAATTTAATAGTTTTTTTTTAAATTTTACAATTATATTTTACCAGAATTCATAAAACAGGTATTGCCTATGTTGCGAAGGCCACAAAGTCCTTGAGCATGCATCGAATAAGCAACGGCAACGGTCACGGTCAATGTCAATGTGGAAACGGATAGAAAAACAAATTGAAACAAGCAAGTTAGGCGAGATACTCAAAATAGCTGCACTATGATTATGATAACGTTAAATTTTGAAACTATTTTATTTTATTTCCTCTACTGTCACCTACTATCGTTTCAATAAAATTTTGAATGTAATCCAAGCAAACGATGAGCGTATGAAGTACTCTCTATATTTTACCTTCAGTATTTTCTGTGTCGGACGATTTGTCCGAAATTGAGCTGGCCGCAAGTGACTTTGTGAAGGCATCCGTATCGGGTAAAATTCGGCTAGAAATAGACGATGTTGTTTTATCATCGCGATTCGGTGTTGGTGGCAATGCACTACGGGTGGAACTATTTCTTAACTAAAAAAGGAAACAAATAAAAATAAAAATGCATATTAACGTTATAAAATAATTATAAAGTAGTGCGTATGATTCATTTAAAAAAAATGTAAATGATGTATTTTTAATGAGTCAGAAAGAAAACTTTGAATGTATTTAATTCAGTTGTTAAATTAAATGAGTGCAAAGCAACAGTCAAAAACCAAGAAATCCATGAAAAGAGTCACGATAATCTTGAGATATGGTTGAAACGGAAAAGAACGAAAGTTATTCCAGTTGTCATGCATTTACACTTACACTTACGGAATCGCCACCATCTAAATGATTCAAATTAATTGATGTGCCGTTTTCTTTGACCGTCGAACTTTTGGCCAACAGTGACGATGTGGACGATTCCGTCATCGCCGACAGTGTTGACGTTGAAGATGAGTTTGATGAGAGCATTTCTTCGGGCACCGCCTTTCTGGCAATTCCAAAATGACCATTTGCTTGATGTGCACAACTTCCATTCGTTATGGTATTGTATTTATTTGTGTGAATATTGTTTAGCTTTTTTGATGCTCCGGTTGTCGGGAGTGTGGATGTATTTTTTATACCTTTGCTCAGCGCCATGTTATCGTTGAAAAATTCTTTGAGCGATGCAACATTTACGGTGCTCGGTGAATGTCTTCGTTCCGAATCGTCGCTGTCTATGAATTTAATGTCATCGGTCGATAAAATGTCGACGGTGTGTTGTTGAACACAATTTGCGTTCATTTTTTCATTTGAATTATTATTGGAGAATTCAGTTTGTTTGGAAATTGTGGCTTCTCCCAATGTCGAATTTGAATTAGTTTTTATTGATGGTAACGTTGAGTTTACGTAAAAAATTGTCACCTTATTGCGATTTGAATCTTTGGCCGGCGATGATGTCAATGACGTTGACAATGTGAGTCCATCTGTTTTACTTAGTTCACCACTATTGTTGTTATTATTGTTCTTTTCACCACACGCAGATCTTGATCTAGAATTGATCACTTGACTTCGTGCCAAATCGTATTCGCATTTCAAAAAATCTGGATTTTTATACGGTGACAACGGATATGTTCCAAGTCTACGTTTAAATGATTCACTCGATAGTAATTGCTTTGTTTCATTATTATTGTTGTTCAAATGGTGATTCGAGACTTTTCCGTTTGTCGATTTGTAACCATTCATAGTCTGATTTTGATTTTTATTCGTTTTATTCACTTTACTATTTACTAATGGAGTATTGCTGACACTGCTGGTGGTGGTTTTTGAATTTGATGGGCATACAGTTGAACCGGTCGTGGATACCTTTGATGAAATTTTTTTTATAGCACTGCATTTCGTACCAATTTCAATGGATGATACATTTGATTTTTTACTAATAGTTTTACTTTGATTATTTTGATTAGTTAAGGTTGCCGAACTCACAACAATCGAATTACTCAATGGATTAGTTACGCCATTACTGACGAGTTGCTATTAGTTAATGATCATTATTTCAAAAAAATAAAAATTGTATTAGTATATCAAATCGAGACCAAAATTATATCAATTGTTATTTCAAAAGAATTCATCCAAATTGATTGGGTTAGAATTGGGGAAACCCGACTTGAAATTATTGCTCGAGAATGAATGTAAGACTTCTACTAAAATGCAGTGTTTTATTTCAATAAAATCTCAGGGGAATTTTCACAATCATTCTCGGACATTCAAATAAAAATCTATAAAAGTGCACAGAGGAAAACATTTAGCGCTATTCTTGAGACATTTTAGAAAATAACCACGATTATGATTTGCCCGCTCATTTTTCTTTTATTAAACGTCAACACTCAATAAGAGTACTTTCAATTGCATGCACAATTGCACATAGCATAAACATTGACAATTGAATCCAAAAAAAATGTACAGTATGTAAAACACAATTGTGTGTTGTATTTTGACGATTTACAAAAATGTTGTACAAAAAGTCTCTGTATGGAACATATCAAATAAAAAACCTCTATCGGGGTGAAGAACAAGTGACGAAACCAAAATTTGAAACACAAAATTTCTGATATCAATTTT